TATATATATATATATATATATATATATATATATATTCACTACTACAATTATAACATATCTTCTTTTGCCCTTTATTGTTTAATCGATCTTTGTTCTATTCATTCGTACCAGCAGTTCCAGCTATCATAGTACATTGATGTACCTTTTCCTTTTAATGCCAAAGTTAATTTGTCCATCTCTGCACAATTTGCTATTTTTTGAATAAACAATTCCTCTGATGGAATATGAGGTTGCTTCCAACATTGTGCAAAGGTCAGTCTGGCCACTGTCAAAATATGTACTATTGTATACTTCACTTTTTTTGAGATTTGTTTATTAAAGATCCCTAATAGAAAGAGTTCTGGTTTAAATTCGATCTGTTCTATTGTCATTTCCTCCAACCATTTTCTAATTTTCTGCCAATATTTTTGTGCCTTTATACAAGACCACCACATATGGAAGATCCCTCCTTTTTTTACATTTCCAGCAATTCCGACTCATGTTGGGGTGTATTTTCGCTAATCTCAAAAGGGGAAGGTGCCATCTGTAAAACATAGGCATTTTCCTTATAGGCTGCCGATTTTGTTATTTCTACTCCAGACCTTCTCCCATTCTATTAAAGTGATACTACGTCCTATATTCCTACTCCAGGCTATCATATTCCCTTTGACAATTTCTTCCACTAATTCTCTCTAGTAGGTAATTATAAAATTTTGTTATATTTTTTTTGTCTGGGCTAATAGAATTTTGTCTAGTTGCTGAAGTTTATTATTGATTCCAAATTCTTTCTTATCCTGCTTGTATCTACTCTGTACTTGAAGATATGCCCATCTATCGATTTGTACTCCCTGGTCCTGAAGATCTTGCCACAATTTCAAATTTCCTTGCGCATCCAATAAGTCCTTGTATTTAATCATCTTAGTAATATCCAAATTATTTGGGTGGATCATCGCTTCCATTGTTGAAATCCAGATTGGTATCTTTAAATAATATTTTCTCCTTATTTTCTTCCAGTTAGTCAATAATGCATCTCTAATTGTCTGTGAAAGTATTTCTGGGTGGTTTTCCCGATATCCCATAGAAAAGCATGCCACCCCCTCTGGCCTTTTAAAACTAATATTCCCTTGTTTGTTAAGTTCACCCATTCCTTCACCCATACTAAGGAGGCTGCACTATAGTACAACTCCCAATTACAGTACAACTCCCAATTTGGAAGGGCCATCCCTCCCCTGCTCTTCAGATCTTGCATTGCCTTTAAATTTATCCTCGGCATTTTCCTTTGCCAAATGAATTTTGCGATTATTTTATTAAGTTGTTCAAAATACTCTTTGTGTACTTTAATTGGTATCATCTGAAATATATAAAGAAATTTTGGAAGAATAGACATTTTAATCATTGCAATCCTGCCTAATAGTGAAAGTTGCAGTTTACCCCATGTTTCTAAATCCTTTACCTGTTGCAATAGTTTGTCGTAATTATTTTCCTTTAGTGTTTTGCAATGTGCTGTCAGCCATATTCCTAAGTATTTAACTTTCTTTATCACTTGAAATCCCATGACCTTTTCTAATTCTAACTTCTGTTTTTCTGTTAGATTTTTAGTCATTAATTTCATTTTCTATTAATTTTTAATCCTGCAACTACTCCAAATTGTTCTAACTCGTTCATCAGTTTTTGTCCTCTTTCAATTGGCTCTTCAATTAAAAAAAACATGTCATCTGCAAACGCTTGCACCTTATATTCTTCTTTAACCTTTAATCCTTTTATGTCTGGATTCTGTCTAATATGTTAGTAATGTTTCCAATGATAATATGAAGAGCAGGGGTGAGAGTGGGCAACCCTGTCTGACTCCTTTCTCTATTTTTATTGGGCGGGTATATTCCCCATTTTAATGTTCACCTGTTGTGCCACCTTCATTTCTATCTTGATGGATTGGTGTTTCTTTGTGCAATATGTGCATGTGCATGCGTGCATGCACACACACACACACGGTGCTTCATTGCAGACATTCAGTTGCCATACATCACATAAAACAGTACTGATCTGTGTCCAAGTGGATCTGAGAACAGTACCTGAGAGAAAGATTGGAGAAGTTGAGAGAAAGCAGGAAAGGAAAGTTGAGAAAAGGTGTAAAAAGATTAATTTTCAATGGGACACATATGCATGTGGTATGATAGAAACTAACTCTTTTCCACCTTCTCTTGACTTCTGGAACCTTCCAGGATAGATTTGTGAACCACATTTGTTCATATCACTGAAACTTTGCAACTCTAAAGTTTGTAAGTAAAGCAATATCTGTATTGATAGAGTTCCCCATATGTATATCATCACTTAGTACACAATTTCAAAATGTTTTTAACATCTTAAATGCTTCCTATAAGGTGAAATAGTACTCAAAATGTTCAAAGAAAAATTTCCTGAAAACTACTTTTCATGATAAATTATCTGAAAATTAATAATTTACCACCATATCAACAGTATTAAAAACATTTATTTGTCAACATAAAGACAGAAACATGAATCGTTGGCTTTACATAATAAAACTACCTTTCATCATCATAGAATGCAGTCTTTGGTGTAAGCAATAATACTGCTACATTCCATAATTGTTATGAAGTCTATTGAAGAACTGAAGTTCTACCTTACAAAGATTTTTAATTCACCTAATTTTGTAACTTCCAAAATGGCAATATCATATATGTAGTAGAAAAAGCTGCATTAATTTTACTGTGATAATTTTTGTTGACTAGTCATGATTGAAGAACTGACTATTCAATTTATGAATATTTTTCCTACATATTCATGGAAGTTTTTTTTAATAGCAAAGGAGCCATGGCTTCACACCCACTGAATTATAATAGCATCAGTTCAAAAAATCATAAATACAGAATGTAGCCATAACATATGCAAACAAATACAGAACATTAGGAGCCACTACTTATTGTGAAACATGTACCAAATCAAAATATATAGTCAACATTAATTTTAACATGTAAAGATTTTTCTTACTATCAAATGTAACATAATTTTGGTTAGTTCTATCATCTACAGGATTAGGAGTGCTCATATGCAGTGGCAGACCAAAAAAATTAATTGTTTGATGCAAAAGAGATATTGTAAATAGAGAAAAGCAAATCACTTAACAGAGTAAGGCTATATTTAGACATTCAAGAAAAGTTCCAAAGTATCTTCAAATATATAACTTATAGAAGAGACTTTGAAATAATATTCTTTTTCCCGAAGAGCAAGCACCATTAGCAGATCTAAATGGTCCTTCTCCTACAGCCCTTGATATAGATTATTCCATAAATCTGCAGAGTAAAGTCATATTGCACAAGAATAAATCTATTTCTATAATATTGGGGCTAGGCCAATAGAATAGACATAAGAAGCTGTAAAAAAATCCTACTCTACAGAAATTGTTCTTAAGAAAAGATACCTGAAATTAACTGTTAGTCATAGAAAACTGATACAGAGACCATAGTAACATTGAACTTATAGAAGGGTGCTTAGAAATTTTCTGAAAAATATTGAAATATAAATACTAGGTAAATGACAAATGGCTGACATTGCATTGCCAACTTACGAAGTAACAATCCAAATTATTGTCCAAGTTAAGTCTTTTTAAAACTAACATTATGCTAAATTGTCAAGTAGTTCAGGTTTATGATTAATATTCCTCCAAAGATGTTGTCAGTTAAGTTTACTTGCAGAAGTTTAGTTGGAGGTCCAAGAATAATAACGCATATTCTACTGCATCATATTTATGTTCTCTGCATACTCTACTGGCATTGGCAAGTTTGTGTTGGAAAATATTTGTCCTAGATTTTCCTCCTCAAAATATTTGTAGATCTTTATAAATGCTTTCAACTAAAAAAATTACTCTCATTTACAAAATTGGAGTGCTTAACTCTTCGTTTTTTACAATAAAGAAAATAAAAATTAGAAATCTTAGGTGTACATACTTCATTAGTACTTTAATACAGTGTGGGTGATTTTTTTTCTTTCTCAAAATGATAGGGTAGTTTTCATGTTTTCTAGTGTTTGGAATACTGTGTTTCTTATATAATAAGGCCGGGTCTTTTTTTTTTTTTTGAGCCCCGAAAAAATGGTTAGGCCGTCTTTTCGGGGGTGACTTAATTCCCCCCCCTTGCATCTTTGGGCGGGCGGCGACAACTTGGATGTTGACCTCGGCGTTGGTGGGGCACTTCATATTGGGGTCAACACAGGCAGCACCATATCCGAGTGTGCAACAAAAGTACTTCCTAATGGCAAGCCCCCCCCCCCATTCCCATTTCGCATGTTTTAATATAGGCCTTAATTTGGGGGGAGGGGCTTAATTTCATTTCATGCCTATAAAACATGCTGGGACTTCCTATTGGGGGAGGCTGTATTGTTGGAGAAACAGGGTAGTAGAAATAAAATAGCATAAACAAAATTATTCAGACAAGGGTCACATATAGGAAAGGACTGAAGCACCTGTTTTTACTCTAAATATGGCAATCTTGTCATGGAAATATTTTTTGGAATGAGTTTTAATACTGACCTATACATTTCTATTTAAAAATAAAAGAAGAAAAATGAACATGATGCTGGGCCTTATTAATGTAAAAAGAGTGTTTTTTCATTGTGTCTCAACTGTGTTATAAAAGTAGATTCAAAATACCTACTCTTGGGCCTTGGAAAAACTTGGAACCTTCTTCTGAAAGCTTCAAAAATATTGGCAGAGAAAAATTCAGGATATGTCAATTATACAAAATGAATGATACAGGTAATCAAAATGAATGATACAGGTAATCGAGTTACAAATGTAATGGAGCCTGCCAATGACATTCATAATCTGAGGATTCATAGGAATGTATCACATAACTTGAATCTCTCCTGCTTTCGCCCATGCATTTGGAAGTATCTCAGAGTGGGGAACAAGGTGTCTTGGGTGGGGAAGGCCGGGGGGGGGGGGCTAGTGCTTCGGACAAAACAAAGTCTCCCCTGACCCACTGAGATATCTCATGCTTCCTGCCCCAACCTGGTCACTTACCTTACATAGATCTCGATGGTCAAGACAGCTATCTCCTTTCCAGCCTCTCTGCCAGGGTTTTGCCTTGAGCAAAGGTTTGCCGAGGCCTGCAGGGATGAGAGATTACATCCCTGTAGGCACCAGTCATTTTTGCGAAAAGCCTTTGCTACTGAGAACAGAGGCTGGGCGAGGGTCCATTCTCAGAGGCAAAGACCCTGAGGAAAGGACTTTGCTGCCATAAATGGAAGCCCGCAGGGACATGCGTGCCCCTCCCAGGCTGTTTTTGGCAGCAAAGGTTTTTTGCAAAGATGACAAAAGGCTTTGGAAAGAGGGAAGACTTCATTGGTTCAGGACTTCCCTCCATTTGCAAAGTCTTTTGTTGCAGATACCATGTAGGCCTCCATTTGCAGAGAACAGAGGCCTAAAGTACCATGAGATCACACAAGATCAGTACAGTGAGATCTTGCACTACTGATCTTGCGTGATCTTATGGTACTTTAGGCCTCCATTCGCTGCAAATGCACTGAAGGCCTGAAGCAGGGCAAGAAACCGAAGCCTCAATATATCTTCACAAGGTGAGTATCTACAGGCCCGGTACCTATGGAGACCTGATCAAGAGTGAGTAGGCTATAGGCAAGGTGAATGTTATAGTGCCTCTGCAGTCGTTCATAAAGGTGCTACAACATTCATAACTTTGGGACTGTATCGTAAGTACTTGGGGGGGGGTTGTTGTAACTTTGAACAGTCTCTTAATTCGATGTTGTAATTCGATGATTACCTGTAGATGCTTAAACAAAGAGAATATTCTCCCAACTTCACAAGTTGTGCATGTCTCAATTTTAGTTGATCATATCAATATACCAAATTGATCACACATCTCAACAAGTAGACTTGGGAACTATATTTAAAGTCAGGGGTTTTTTTGTATTATACTGGATCAGAACATATACTGCTACTTTTTCATATAATTTTTAATTATATAATGATGGTGCAAGAGAAATTAAAAACAGAAAAAACTCTAAACAGACAAAATCTCTACCTACTCACCTATTTTTCCCCTTATTTTTTTAGATGATCTCTTTCATTAATGGACATGATATTCCATGTATTTGTAAGATATTTCAAGCTGAAATAAATGTAAACAGATTTCGCAGCATATCTTGGGAAAATGTCTTTCCTAAACCAATTTAGATTTATGCTGAGGTAGAACTTTGTTTGTTTCTTTCCATTCATTATGAAAGCTGTCCAATGACATATAAGCACTTGATAAGTGTAAATTTAACAGCAAAACCCATAATAGTAAAAGACAAGTAAGGGAATTAAACTTTTTTTTTTCACTTTTAGCACCTTTAGGAGTTTGTAATGTTTTCTTTTTTCTTTTTATTGTGGAAATATCTCCTAGTCCATGCTCCGTTTAGACCTGTGGCATCTATTGCAGTATCAATAAAATCATCTGGTATCAGCCATTTCAGAAATATCAGAAAAAGAAAGCTGAGCATGGCCAAAAGAGCAAAAATGTAACCAGTCACTGGACCACAATGAGTGATAAGTCTCTCAAGTCGTTTGCCCATTGGCAATACAGATTCATTTGCCACTCTGTTGTATACCTAGAGGAAGACATATACCTTAATCAGGTTTGTTTGCAATATGTAAATTGCATTAACTCAAAGTCACTCATTCTTGATCATAAACATATTATAAATATAATACTAGATTACACTAGAGAATATCCTTTGATATATCCAAAGGAGTCAACTAGAGGAACTCTTTATTTCCCTAATTTTTCAGGTGTTTTCCTAAATAATCTACAGATTCCTAAAATTTGTCATTCAAGTAATTTTATATATTTCCTATCCATAATATGGTAGGCTTTGGCATCTAACCGAAACTGGATTATGATTACAAATGTATTATTAAATATAATTACAGAATATAATTACATTTACAAATGAATATGGATAATAAATTAATCAGACCATGATAACTCTCTCTTCAGATCTCTGGACATAAAACCAGATGTTACGAACAACCCATAAAGAATAACTTTTATAGCAGCAGCATCAACTGGTCATGGTTTTGTGCTACAAATAATATTTGGCTGCCAAAGATTATTTTTCCAAAGCAAAGGATTGTGGAAGAAATTTCTCCTACTCATATGCAATAACTCCAATCTTAATAGGACAGCAAGTAGGTTTTAAAATAATTAAGATATACTGGACAAGTAGTTCATAAAAATGAGACTGGAATATCAGATGGATATCTGCAAACTGCTATTGGCAGAAATTTGCCATGTGAGCTAGGACACAATTAATTGATAAGTCCCTTGTCTATACTTATTCTGGCATACCAAATTCCCTATATGTAAGATCATAGCTGGCTACAGGTTAAGTGCATAAAGAAAACAATATAATTAAATTTCCACAATGAGATAAACTATTAGAAAGCATGAAGATGTTCTCAAATGAATATAGAATTTTCAAACAAGAACGTTCACCCACTTTTTCAGTTCTTTTTGCAACATTTCTCCAAGTGTAGAATGTTCTAACTTTGTCATGCATAATTTCTGGAGACAATAATGATCCTGACTTCAGTTGGCTAATAGCCTTTTCCAATCCACTACAGAGGGATTTTACTGAAGGTTCACACAAAATTATAAAATCATCTGGAAGTACTTCAGGAATCCCACCAACTCTTGTACTGACCACCTGAAACAACAGATAAATTATTATGCTTTTGCTAGGCAATTAGTGGCACAAAAAGTAGAGTAGAAAAGTAGTTTGACACCGCTGGAGTATCAGTTGTCAAAACAGGTAGCGTCTGAAACAAGACTATCATTCCAGGCAGAACATTTATTTTCATCACAGAAATTCTTCCCAATCAAGACAAATTTATTTTCTCTCATATAAGCATGTCCTTTCATTCCATATAGTTATTTTGCAATAACATATAATTTATACTTATGATAGTAATACTCAAATATTTTACTTTATTCTCAATCTTAAAACCAATTTTCCTCATTATTTCTGTTTGATGCTTTATTTTTGTAAGCATTTCTTTCTGCTAATTCTTAATCTTAAAACCTGTTAGCATACCAAATTAGTCTGAATTATAGGGTTCCCCCATTTGTTTTTTATTTTGCGTTTCTTTGTCCTTAATACTTAAGTCTCATTTGACATTCCATAATTAGTCATACAATCTGTCTCATATTCATCTTCTTTGTTTTGTCAAATCCACTGATTATTTATTTACTATTAAAGAAACAACATTCTACAAAAGTCTAATCTACATGTTGATTTAGCTCCAATAGTTTTAAAAGCGCTTTTGCCAAGAATTAATCTTTCAAAACTACTGTCCCTTTCTTTTTACATTACTTTTTTAACTTTTATCAGAAATTCACCAAATGATTTCCCCTTATCCTGACATTTGGAAGATCTCTCTTTTACTTTAAATTGATTGCATCTGATAGAGATTAAGAAAACAAGGCTTTTGCAACTCTTATGTTCATTAAGGGCTGCACTGCAGTGATGAGTATGATTGAAGTCCCTTGACTTCCAGCCACTAAACCCCACAATTCTTGTGGTCTCCTCATGAGTAGCAGCTGTCTAGAGTGCAAGTGAGTAATATCAGGGTCTCTCCTTGTTCAGAGAAAATTCCACTGGCTAGAATTCAATGTCTGGTCACCAATCTCTGCTACAATGCAGTGGTGGGATTAAAAAACTTTTGCCACCAGTTCGGTGGGCGTGGCTTGCTGGGCGCAGAGGCGTTTGTGCAGGCGCAGAGGCGTTCCAACTCACCTCCTGCAAGCCTGCACTCTCCTGGTTGCTTCAGCAGCTGCTGCACAGCACTCTTCTGTGCTGCACCAAGCAGCTGTGCTTCAAAAGCAGAAGATAAAGGTGAGTATGGGAGCCCGGGAAGGCGGGTGGACCCAACAGCAGAGCGGCGGAGACAACCAATTCGGTCTCCGCTGCTCATCACCGCTACCAGCTCAGAAAAACCGGGGCGAATCGGTAGAATACCACCACTACTACAATGCCATGTTCCTATCATAGTTTTATTAAATTCTTAAGAAAATGGTCTATTTAATTTTTTGGAATAACAATAAGTTTTACCTGTAAACCACAACTGGCAGCTTCCACAATTGCCATACAAAATGCTTCTGTGAGAGAGGTGTTAAGAAAAATATGACCTTGAACCAAGACATTTCTAACTTCCTGATGTTCTAAAGCTCCTAGAAGACGAACTCTATAAAGTTTTGGAAAACAGGTAAAGAAAATATTGATACAAGTATTTTTATCAATGGAGAAAATCACTGGGAACTTTAAAAAGACCATAATATTTTATAAGTTGACAATCACAGTCCAAGATAAATACTTACAACTAAACCTGAAATCAATAGAACTGGATTATGAATAAACTACTAATTCTACTAATTCAGGAATTTTCAAAGTCTTTAATTTCATATTTTCAGTTTTCCCAACTGTTGTCTTCAAAGATGGCTAAAATGCTAAATATTAGTTCAGCAATATTATAACTATTCAATAGTCAAGTACAGAGAAAAAAAATAATGAATTCTAAGTTCATCCAAACATTATCTCATAGGTCACTGCAGTTCTCAATATTTTTACCAAGAATATTTCATTTATTTTCTAAGTAATATATATTAGAAAAAATAATCAGGAGAAACAGCTTTCAAATTTTCTCTTTAAAATAATTTCTATTGATGCTTCATGGTGGGTGGTTTTTTTTGAGTTATTCATGTTATTTCAGTATTAGAGCTGTATCCATCTGCATTTTCACACTGAAAATACATGTAGTCCTTGACTTACAACAGTTCATTCAGTGACCCTTCAAAGTTACAACAGCACTGAAAAATGTGACTTATGACCATTTTTCACAGTTCATATTTATGACCAATGCTGTATCTCAAGGTCATGTGATCACTTTTTGTGACCTTCCAACAAGCAAAGTAATGGGGGAGCAAGATTCACGTAACAATTGGGTTACTAACGTGTTTCTCACATAATAAGGCCGGGCCTTATTTTTTTTTGACCCCCGAAAAAACGGCTAGGACGTCTTTTCGGGGGGTGACTTAATTCTCCCCCCTTGCATCCTCGGGTGGGTGGGCGGGCGGCGACAGCTTGGATATTCGGGAGACCTTCGGGTTCGGGCCACCGTTGCTTTCCCTTCTCCCTTGCTGCCGCGGCGTTTGGCGCAGCCACGTGCGGCCA